AAATTTATACAACTTAGAGATTTCTGCTTATTTTATTTTGATTCAGGGCATTGTCTGAAAGGTTACTTGGTTTAAAGTTCTGTCCGTGTCCCATAGTCAAAGTTCCTTTGCCCCCAGTGGGAAAACTAGGAATGGTAGCTGTTTGCTCCTACACCTGTGGACTGTGGAGGCTCCTGAGGGTATAGAGTATGGTTCGGTGTTTCCAGGGAGAGGTTGGAAGGAATTTGTTAGTTTTGGGGAAGTCTTATTAAAAAGACATTTTGTATCATTGGGACTACCTTTCTAATCCAAGGGATAAAGGAAAACTGCTGTCTTTATTGTGTCCCTACCCCAGAAAGCCTCTCTGCCTGTGACTTTCAAAGGTCAGCCGCTTCAAGTCTGGTTGGGTCTTGCTTGTGTTGAATTTCAGCCAGCAAGTCCCCAGCATACAGGAGAATTTGGGATTTTTCTCCCTCCCTCATTTCTTCTGTGTTTGTTCAGTGTAAACAGTTCCTGTCGTAGAAACATAGACAAATATAGCAGAGAATGCTTTTCTGGAAGAAGAATGCTCCCTGAGCATTTTTAAACCATTTTTGGGAAGAATTGATCTTTCTGTGTAGTTCAGACAGACTGAAAGAGAGGGAGGCTGTTGCTGTAAATTGAAGTGACATCATGTGTATTGCCCCCATTGATCCTCTCTTCGTCTCCAGCCAGGATGAAAGGAAATGGCATCAGGGAGGAAGCAGCTTCGTTTAGGCACAGATCCCAGAGTGATAATGGGGTAATAATAGAACTCATGCCACTGTCAGTTGGAGGCTGCATTAGTCTCAGGCTCCGTCCCCGCCCGGGAGCCTCTCAGGGACTTCCTTCGTGCCTGCATCGCGCCAGCTGGACCTTGAGGGACTGCCCTTCTTTGCTCTTGGAGGCATGCAGAAGTGGGGCTCAGACTTTCATATGCACCCAGCTCCTTGTATTGGAGCCTCTCTGTGCAAGGTCAGTAGTGAGACGCGTCTGTGACATTTCCTATAGGAGGTGAGCTGGCCTTTTCTGGTCCTGCTAATGGAAGGAGTAGTGAAGGGCCTGAGTTGCATGGGTGGTCCTCTGGGGAGCCAGGAGTGAGTGATGTCCCCGTGACAGCAGTAAGAGGCTTGTGGAAGAGTCAGGGTTTTTTCTTTGTGCTGCTTGTAGACTGGGAGGGTGGGTTTGGAAAATCTGTATTTTTTTCCAAGAGTCTGTGTAGAAACTTTAAAAACCACTCAAAAGTTGTGTGGCTTGCTTCAGCTCTTAAATTGACTGGGAGAAATTACCAGGTAGACTTTCCTTTTTTTTTGTAAATTTCTGGGTTTTTAGTCCTCCATGTTTAGACTAAGAATCCAGACCTCTAAATTTTTAACAAATATCTTTTGTATTTTCTGACCTCCTTTAGCACTTTGTGGCTTTGTTTTTTGTTGTTGTTGTTGTTGTTGTTTTTTTTTGTATTTAAGTTTTACAGTATTGTGAAGTTCTCAGTTTCCAGCACCCACATGACTTCAGCACCCCATAGCCTTATTTTGTCTTGAGTTTTGGGGCACATGCATTTTAAAAATAACAACCTGGTTTCCGTATGGAAACAAATAATAACTCTGTCATGAATTCCCTGCGTGTGCAAAGGAAAGGACTTTCTCTTCCTGTCACTCAAGCTATGGCTGTGAGCACTTTTAAGCCCTCAGAAATAAAGGCAGGTTCTTTTTATAATGTTCGAAGGAGCTGCTTTCTGATGAGATAATGCTCTGAAACATGTGCTGTATTTTTCTTAATCCTCCAAAGTATGACTAAAGCCATGTTTGTCTCTCAGTACTGCTGTATTAAACACAGTTGGCCTACAAGTCACGTGAAATTTAATTTGCTTTCTGTGAGGGAGGGGTAGAGTGACCCACACATACTTCCCGTGGCTGCCATGCCAGCTGCCCAGAGCTGCATGCAAGCACATTTGGAGTGTATCTCTCTCAGTTGCTTTGCAAACTTTTGGTTATTACATAGTATATCTTTTTCATCGTAGGGTGGCTTCACTGGGAGTAAATGTTTATTTTACAGAGAGAAATGTACTATATAAAAACAAGCTACTTACCACAATTTGGCTTTAATATCTTCTTTTCAAGGTCTATAATCTCATGTAAAAATTATGTAATGTTTACTTACTCATCTGTGAATGAAAGATGCTAAATTAGTTTCTTGTATGTACTAAAATAGAATTGGATCACTGATTTTCTCAAATTTTGTTGTTAAACTACATGTTTCCCTAGCGAGTTATAAGAGTTAGGGAGGGCTGTAGGTTGCTGTTGGAGTGAGAGTCTCCCACAGGCTCATTGGGGAGAGTGGGCCAGACTGACTGACTGATGCACTGAGCATTCTGGAGGGAGGGCCGTCCTCACAGCTGCACCAGCCTGGGGGTTCTGGGCTTCCTCCCCAAAGGAATAGGCCAGCTCTTGCTGCAGAGCAGTCCAGGCACCTCGGTGCCCAGGAGGGAGGCCTGCCTGGCAGGCTGTGTGCACGCCTGCTCTTCACCCCACTCCAATTAGAGTAAATTAAACTTATTTTAAAAACACAAAGGTTTGACTCTCTCCATTCCACCTCAGCTGTTTATCTTCAGTCAGGGGGCTTAGCTTCAAGTATTTTCCCATTGTATAAAATTAGGACAAAAACTCTCAGGGATCCTTTCTGAAGATCTGTTCTGTTTCTGTGTACGGGTACGTGAACTTTCTGCTGAAAACTCTGAAATGGGTCAAGTATGAATCTAGATATTTTGATAGGTTAACATATTGGTAATTCTTTAATTTTAAACTGGAGTTCAATTTATTTGTTAAACCCTGTTAGGGTAAGTTGAGGACCAACCTAGTCTTCCTCAGGGGTTTCTTTCCTCTGTGGGTCTCTTTAGTTTAAACCAAATCCCAAATGCAAGTTCTAACAATAGGCCTCTTTGTGAGTGTGGACATATAATAGGGAGATGCTTTTCTTTCTACTCTGTCCTTCCCTGTAATTCTGCAAATTGCCCAACATGATTCCTTCTGTTTTTAGTTAGTGAATCAGGCCTCCACCCCAGCCGATGGGTGTTCTGCCTTGTGACGGGCTTGCCATTTCCCGCAGGCTGTCTTCCTGCATCCATTGTGGTCTCAGTGTTTGAGATGCTGCCCTGAGCCTGGCAGCTACCAGTTTTGAGAGTGCTTGTCAGGGTGTAGGGCTGGGTGGCCAGTCTGGGGCCCTCCCTCCCCACCCTTGTAGAGGCAGGTGAGCTGCTGCTCCATGGGTGCCCAGGCCAGACCACCTTGGGGTGGGTGCCGTATGGAACATGCTTGGAAAGGGATGGGTTGGTTGGAAGAGATCCTAATGGGAGAGAAAGGGCAGGCTCTGTTAAGAGGCTGGAGGACAGTCGGGGAGTGACTTAGGGGACTGAGGGAGGGGCCCAGGGAAGACTGAAAGCTTAGCCTCCACCAGCAAAGGACCTCTTTGGGAACTCAGGGAAGAAAGGTCCAGAAAAGGGAGACTGCAGGGCAAAATGGACAGGAAGGAGGGCCCAGAGCCTGTGGTAGGGCCCCTGTGTACCCACAGGGGAGGGTTCACAGTGTGACTAGGTGAGGAGGTTCTCTGGAAGGTAGTGGCACTGGATTTATCCTGTTTTATAAAACTGTAGATTTCTTTTAAAATTATAAAAGTAGGCTTCTGTGTCTAAAACTGCAGAAATTAGAAAACTGGCAGTTTTTTTTCTAATTGCTATTCAGTAATTATCTTTAATGCATCTTTTAGGCACAGGACTCCTGTGAAAGGAAGTTGTGCTAGTCGTTCCCTAAGTCCCTGTGGAGGGCTGCTTGGGGGGCCGTGCAGGTTGTGAGCCTCTGTTTTGGCTGAAGGCACTCGTTTTCCTTTCAGCCTGAGAAGACCCACAGGACTCTTAGATGCATGGAGGGATGTTGTGAAATAAAAATGCCTAAGAATCAAGGGATGTGCTTCTGTGTCTCTGTAGGGGAGTGGGGTTATATGAGACCTTAGAAGGGCGAGGTGAGGACATCAAGAAATGCTCTCTGTGGGGAATGATACGGTTCACCCAGTTTCCCGCCATGTGCATTCCAGGAAAGTGTGGAGTGGGGGCAAGCAGAATACACACATGGGGCAGCAAAGTAAAAAGGGATAGGGAGAGAACCCAGTGATTTTTTAACTTTCTTTGAGAATAACAGAAAGTAGAGGTAAAAATCTAGGAGTTCTTAGGAATGTTCCATTGGCCTACTATTGACTTGCAGACTTGCAAGTTTGGGTTTATTGACAGGGATTTTCAGGGCACAAGTGGTGAAGGGGAAAAGCTAAATATAGAGAGTAGTGGAATTCATAGCAATAATTTTAAAACCTTTATTTTAGAATACATACTTTTCATTTCCTACAAGATGTATCGTAAATGTATTTTTTCCTCCTGTAGTTTGCAAATACTGTCTGTTCCAGGGGCTGAATTAGGCACTGAGGTGCAATAATGAATAAGACATTTTAAGTTCTTGAATTTCAAAAATATTTGTTCATAAAATGTTCATTATTTTTGTACCATTTAGAAACACCCTCTTCTCTTTACCCGCCCCCCCATTTTTTTCACCTGTCCTGTATGGAAACTTGGGAATATGGGTGACTCTGTGTAATCATGTTTATAGTATTGTTTAATTTTAATGGAATTACGTATAAACCTATAATTTTTATAAGGGAGGGTCTGTGAGACATGATTCTTAGTTCATTACATGCTCTTTATTTCTCGGTGTACATTTTCAAGGTTCAAGGGGTAAGGAAGGAAATCTGAAATCGGCTTACTTCTGCTAAATTTCCATGCCCAAGACCAGGTGGTTTCTTGAATCTTTGTGTAGGTTAAACGACGCAGTTGTTCTGGGTTGCAGACACCTGTCGAAGTACCCAGGTTACTCTGGATTTGCTGTCTTTCTGCTCTAAACGGTTGCTTTTGATTTCTTGTAAGCGGAATGGCATTTTCACTGGCTCTTTGGTTTTGCCCTCAGCTTCTTCCAGACCAGCTGGTCTTGCTTCTGGAGCATCTCTTGGAGCAGAAGACCCTGAACCCCAGAACTCTGCAAAGCCTCGAAAGGACATACCACCTCCCCCAGCAGGATGCCGAGGTAACCAGGAACACCCTCAGAGTTTAAACAGTGAGGCCCTTGCTGTTGTGAAGAATGGTGGCCCCATAGCTTCCCAAACTGTGGGAACTGCTCTTTCCATTAGCAGTGCCCTGTGCTTTGTGCTGTGTGCTGTGAGTGAAGAGCAGTCCTTCCAGCCAAGTGAAGCTGCTCCCCTGGTTGTAGTACCCCACCAGTAAGGGCCCCGGAATCTGCTTTTACTTGGGCAGTTTGAGATCCTTAGTCCCTCTTTTTAAATCATAAAGGTGGACATAAGTTTCCTAAAGGAATGCAGAGGCAGAGTGGAAGTGCTTTTCAATTGTAAACTCAGGCGGGTCACCTTGTGCAGGACGGTGGCGCCGTCCTGCTGCACATTAAAGAAACTTGGCTCAGACGTGTTAGAGCTTCTTGGTCGGATTCAGTTCAGATCGGAAAGGAGCTATATGTGGCGGAAATTAAGCTAAACCTAACAGCCATAGTTGGAAAAGCAAAATTGGATGCTTGTGGGAAAGCAATAGGATGTGGTTCTTAATATCTTTTAGCTTCTTGTAAAGGTCACGGTGTGAATCCTAAGATGAGTGTCAGAGGTTTTTTATATATGGGGGGGGGGGGGATTGACTGGAGGAGGGGAGGTTGGGTAGGGGTGAGCAGTGGTGAAAAAGGAGGGACAACTGTAACTGAACAACAATAATTAAGTAAAATGTAAAATGTACACTTAATAAATAAAATATTAAATGTTTATTGTATTTTAGTCTTCTTAAGTAAAAATCAAGCACACAATCAAAAATAGAGAAGTTCTTTTATATAAAACTCCTAAAATGCAAGTAAGTTTGGTTTGTGTTCAGTTGAAAAGAACTGAACGTTTAAAAATAACGCAGTTTGATGCGGTGGCAGGCAGGCGCACGTGGCCGCTGAGCATCGAGCTGTGGCTGTTTTCAGTGGAGATGTGCTGTGAGTGTGAAATGCACAGTGGTATAAAAACAAAATATCTCACTAATAATTTCTTCTCATTGATTAAAATGTCAAAATGGTATTTCAGCTACATTGGGTTAAATAAAATACTGTTGAATTTCACAATCATTAAAATGGAGTAAAGGGAGAAAAAAGCCAGTTTACTATTGGATGAAAAGGTAGCGTGGGCATTGTTTTACATTTTAAAAGCTGCATAAATTCAGGAGTTTATTGAAAAGCTTCAGAGTAATCACATGTAGCTTTTTATCCACCTGCGCATAGATCAGAAGTACAACTATTGCTGTTTATTTCACTTTTTATATTTTTGTTTATAGGTGTTTCCAAATGCCAGGCTGTTATTTTTAATTGGTGTTTAAAGATGTTTCTATTTATATGCATAAAGGTTAAGTTTTAACCAGAGCTGAATACTACTGAAATGCCAGGCCCTTTGACAGGCAGTGGGCAGAAGATGGTGGGAGAGGATCAAAGCAGGCCCAGGCACCTGTCACTCTCTGTCCAGAAGCCACAAGGTGATAGACACTATTTGCTCCCCTTTCTTTTGGCATAAAACACATTGTGTTCTTAGCTTACAGCCCAGCTTAGTTGTTGTGTATAGCCTCTTAAACCTTTGAGGCAACAGCAAGTGCAAATGTGTGAGCGTGTTGTGTGCTATGATGAGGGTCAGCAAACTTTTTCTGTAAAGGAACAGATAGTTAATATTTCATGCTATTTGGTTTCTGTCCCAACTACTCACCTGTGCCGTTGGAGCATGAAAGCTGTCATCGAGAGAGCATGTGAGACAATTGCCATCAGATAGCATGTGAGGGAACAGACGATTTCTGTGCTCAGTAAAACTGTTTATGGACCCTGAAACTTGAATTTCATGTAATTAAACACGTTTTAAGATAATTCTTTTTGTTTTTGTTATTCCTTCTTCAAACTATTCTAAAACATATACAACATTCTTAGCCGGGGCTGATTTGGTCTGCCCTGTATGGTGTTCGTTGACCCCTGGGTTGGGGTGAGCAGGGGCCAGACCAGGAGGGCCTGGAGGTCATGGTCCTGCTTGGGTTTTTATTCTAACAGTGCTTCCTTCCCTTACTCTCTTGTCCTGGCGTGTAGTTTGTTACTCTGCCAGCTTATCTCACTGATGTTTCTCTGAAATGTCACTCAGAACCAGAAAAGCAACAGGATTTTGGCCAACCAGAATGTTTTCTAGAAACTTTATTAGTTAAGTGTGATTTATTGTGACCAGTTAGCAGGCATTTAGTTGAATAACTGTCTGCCCATATTTTAAGTGACAGAACATTTCATGGAAGAAAGAATTATTTTTGGTACATAAGTCCTGAGGATTCTGACTTCATTCTTGGTTCTTCTCCTTGACCTAAACAAATAAGGGCAGTCTCTTTCGGTCATTATCAGGGCTTTTATTTATTTATTTTTATTATATTTTTAGATTTTACTTATTTTTAGAGAGGGAGCAGAAGCAGAAAGAGAGGGAGAGAACCATTGACATAATAGAGAAACATCAATTAGTAGCCTCTCATATGTACCCTGACAAGGGACCCAACCCACAGCCTAGGCATGTGCCCTGACTGGGAACCAAACGAGCAACCTTTGGCTTTGCAGGGAAGTGCCCAACCAACTGAGCAATGCTACTCAGGGGTCCATGAGTACCCCTGCAGGGGGTACTCCAGGCCTTTTAAAATGCTACTCCAGGCCTTTTAAATATGTAATAGATAACAAGCACTTGATAGCTGGCCAGAGGTCCTGGAGTGTGGCTGTTGTGTATGGAGCATTCCTGTGGGAAATGCTCTAGTGGTATTTCCTGACTAGGAGCAGTGTGAGCTAGAGCTCTGATTCTCTGTGTTCAGGGTGCTGCCCCAGGCCCCTTGACCACAGTGCTAAATTAGACGTCTGCAGAGAAACTTTAGCACAGAGCAGGGAGACTCATGACTTGGGGTGGAGGGGTATTTCTCTATTTCTAAGAGGTAGAGTAAAGCTCCTCTCACTGTTCTTTGGGCTGGATTTTTTTTCCTGAGAGCATGTACACATGTAAAGTCACTCTTGGAGAAAGTGAACCTAGTATTTCACCTGGTATTTCAAACAAGCTTGGTGAGCCTCATTTAAGCTGAGTCTTTGCTGCTTATTCCCTGGTTGCTCAGTTTGCTGCAGAACTCATGCTGGCAGAGCAGGAGACTCTCCACAAATCATACCAAAGTCTCAGTTGCGTCAGAAGCCTGTCTTAGCACTAATCAGGGCTCTCTGTTCAGCATTTGCTTTAGCTTTTCCATCATACCTTTTATTCCTTCCCTCCCTCCTTCTCTTTGTGTGGGTAGGCAAGGTGCAGCTCTGCTGGGAAGTAGATTGTTAATAATTCTCTTCGTGCAAGTCAGTACTTGTATTACTTGGGTTGCTTCTATGTTTCGGTCGTGGTCACAGAATGTGTGGCCTGTGGGTCAGGGTTTCTAAGAGTGGTGCCTGGTCTGATCTTGCCTACCAACTTATTTTCCCCACATCAAGGTGGTAGTTTCCATGGCCCCTGTCCTCCATGTGGTGGCATCCTGAGTGTGACTCCCCAGGTCTTCTCTAGGGGAAGGGATACCACGTGTTCGGAATCTTAAAGGAAAAGTGCACGAGGACAAATAGAAGAAGAAACTGGGCCATTTCCAGCCTTGCCCGCCACTCCTGTTGACGCCGTCTGAAAAGTAGGCACTGGTGGGGAGTGTTGCCTTCCTTGGCCTGAAAAGGAACGCCAACTGGGAGTCACCATCTTTCACATCTTGAGTCAAATATACTACTAACCATATGCTGGCTATGTTAGCCAGGATGGAAAACTTAGTTCACAGAAATGTTTGCTTTCAGTTTTCGAGCATTATTGGCTCAAATAAAGAGCCATAAAAGTTTAAAAATATATTGGACAACTAATTCCTAAAAGATACTTCTTAAGATCCCATTTTAAGTAATGAAATTTCTGCCCTCTACAGCAGGTCTCCAAAGCTGTAAAAACAGCTGCGCGGTAGTGAGGCAAAGACCTGTGGGACGTGGCTCTGTGGGCGTTCTGCCCAAGAGCCCACAGCTGACCTTGAAGCAACTTTATTTCTATAGACTTACAGTTGAGCACTTTAAAATTGGGGATAAAACTCAAGTGAAGTTTTGGAAAATCAGAAATAGCTACTCACTGTCTTAGATGGCAGTGGTGGGCATCGGAAAGGCCCCTGTGCTGGCTTGCTCTGCTCTGATGTTTCAGCTGGTAGATTGGGCAAGAAAATGAATTTTCTGGGGGAGGCCATTACCAGTTCATCCTCTGACTGTATCTGGGGAAGACTGTGAGGCCGCCTCGGTCAGATTAGAGTGCCAAGTGTGGATGTCGTGTCTCTGTCTTTCCTCCTGTCTTCAGGGCGCCGCCCTCTGGCTGGCCCTGCGGGAAGAGAGGAGCGGCAGCTGTGCGTGTGCCTGTGAGCAGCTCTCTTCCACGTTGTGATCTGACGAAGCGCCCAGGCTGAGCAGCTGGTGTTGGCCCAGCCATCAACTTCTCAGCAAACCAGAAGGCTGGTGACCACAGACAAGTTGCCACCCTCCCCGGACCCCCTTTGCCTTGCCTGCTCATCTGCACGGGAATACCTAAACTAGGCTATTGGCATCCTGGCTTTGTGACCACAGCCAAGTGGCAAACAGTGTTTCATGAAAGTGTCTTTACTCCTAAATTTTCTATTATCTGCTGTTTGTTACCTTTTCTCTTAAAAATGTGCATTGTGATGTGGTAAATTGATTTTAAAATACCCTAAGGGGCTGCAGTCCACAGTTTGAAAAATGCCATAAACCTCTTCTTTAAAAGGTACTTAACAATATGACTTTTGGGAAGCTGTCAGTGAGTGTCAGCAGTCTCAATGTAGTTACTGTTGAGGAGTCCCCATCTCTCATTTGGTGTGAAATGGACAAATTTTTTTAGTTGATCTTTGTCTTTTAATCTGTCTGGACTGACAGGGAGAAAGAAAGAGAAGTAGTATAATCTACACAACTATGAGGAGCTCCTAAGTGTCTGGTTAAAGAATTTTTGATCTGGGGGCTTCGTGGGTTTGTGGTGTGGACCATGTTCTGACATTTGGACTGGATGGCTGTCTGTGGGAGTGGGGGGCTGTCTTGTGTGCCGTAGGATATTTAGCATATGTGGTATTTTCCCATGAGATGCTAGTAGCAACCCACCCCTAGTTGTAGTGATCAAAAACGTCTCCAGGTTGCCCGGTGTCCTGTGGGGCAAAGCCACTCCAGTTAAGAATCATGGCTCCAAAGCAGCAACTGATTCACAAAAGGCATTTTTTTCATCTCCTCTAATAGTGCCTGAGAGATGGTTATGACACACAGTGAAGTAGCTGGAAAGGTGGTTGACGGCAGTGAGAGGCCACCCTCGCCAGCTGTGCTCTCCCAGGACTCCAGAGAATATAACCTTGAGAGAGGTGAAAACACTCTTTCCGTGAAAGAAAAAAGAAAGAATGGCAAAACAAAGTAGTAGGGGCAAGTACATCTAGAGAAGCAGATTAGTAAGTAAGGACAAACCTGTTCTACCGCTAGTACACAGACAGCCGTGCCAGCACCGACTGTTTTCCGCTCTGAAAAGGACACTTTCAAGGTTGATTGCAAATGGAAAAACATTCAGCCTTGCAGGCCTTTTCCCACCTCAGTGCCTTTTCCCTGGCTGTGGCTGCAGAGCCCTCAGAAACCCTGTAAAGTGGCCACCCTTCCATGGTGGGTTTTACACATGCAGGGAGGGCATGGATTTCAGTGCATTGTCTTTAAGGGAATGCACTGTTTGCTTGAAAAGAAAACACTCTACAGCATTTATTTGAAGTCCAGAGGTGGAAGGTGTGATTCCCAGAATGTAGTGGCCTGACAGCGCTGCTGCTCATTTCTGCATTTCATCTGGGCCAAAAGCATGGTTCCTGTGAATTGAGTGCATTTCATGATTCACAGACATCTGGAGTGAGTGGCATATTGAAAGGGCAGAGAAGAAAGGTTTAGCCAGGTTTCATGTCTCTGAATTCTGCAGTTGATCAGCAACTACAATTTTGTTCATTCCTTTCATGATAAGCCTCCTTCTATTAAGGGTGCTGGGGCCTGTTCCCTGCCACAGGGACCTCTGCTCCCCATTCTCCCCAGTTCTTTTCAGTAGTATCAGGCTACAAAGTAAACATAAACATTGTCTTTTTGTCTTTTTCACAGGAGAGTTTCAGAGGACAGGTGTTGTCTCAGGCTCTGTTGCCACTGCAGGAGGCTCACCGGTTTCTGCTCAGTATAATGCCTTGTACTGAACTCGTGCCTCCTTCCCTGCTCGATGCAGAATCTTAGGGCATAGAGGCAGAAACTGTCCTTGGTGATGTCAGCTTGGTCATCTGAGCTTGTTGTGTGAAGGTAGCCTGTGGGGACCAGGGGACTGTTCGAGGACCCAGGGTGGGAATACCCCTGCCACATGTCAGCGCTGCCCCAGTGTCCAAGTCTCTTCCTCTTTCCTTCCCTCTGAGACCTCCCTGGTGTCACCTGGTGTTGTCAAGAGGTACCTCCCTGAGCCCATGAGGCAGGTTTTCAGATTGAATATAAAAGAGAGACCATTGTGGAGGCTCAGAGTAGTCAGTCAGTGGCAATTAGCGAAGTGGTTCTCCAGAGTAAGGCAGGTATGAGGGCCCAGATTGGGTAGGGCTTTCAGGAAGGCAGTTTTGACACCTGCCATACCCAGCATTGGGCCATTTGTCACAACTTCTTCACAGGATCAAGGAGTCTGTAGAGCTGTTGGGCTCCTTGACATGGTCAGGCTCAGGTTGCAAATCAAGCTGTCAAATGCTGATGAATCTGAACTTCAGTATGTGAGCTATAAATAGTGCGACTTTATATTCATTTTTTTGAAAGCCAGCGCAGTACTTGTGAAGGCTGCCCCTTTGACACGGTATTATAATTCCTTTGCTAGAGTTTGGAAGCAATCCCAGGTATGGGTTGAAAAAAGGGATTAGGGTATTTTCTTCAGTTGCTTTAGACATATCTGTCTTTTTAAACCATATGCCTTTAATAATGTGGGAAAAAACAGAGCTTTTATATACTGTATTTTTTGCCATGTAAAACATGCACTTTTTTGCCCCAATTTTTGAGGGAAAAATTAAGGATGCATCTTATGTGTGGGTACCTGAAATACCTTGTATCTGTTCTTGTGTTTTGTGATTATTCATTACATAAAATTTCTCATGCCATGATATGTTCAAAAATAAATGTTCAAATTCCTTTGTAATATAAAAAATATCTAAATTTAAATAAATAAAAAATTGAATTAAAAGTTAAAAGATTCTTTTCCTGAAAATTTGGGCCAAAAACATGAGTACACATTATACACAGCAAAATACGGTAATTCTCTAGTTATATTTGTGTATTTTTTCTTTGTTGTATTTGGTTTATGAAACAATGTTTTCGAAGATTTCCTTCAAAAAAGATATCTCAAGCTATTCCTTTCTTTGAGTTTTCTTTCTTTGTTATTCACTTTGGTGCCCTTAGAACTTTTCTGTGGATACCTTGCAGGGAAAAAAGTCTCCTCTGCTATATTGTCATGAAGAGATTTTTCAAAAACTGATAATGACAGAGTAAAAAACTGTCATCTTTTAGATCAATGTTCTGCACTTGTTCCTGAGGCCAGGGACTGTGTTTATTTACCTTGAATTGTTATAGAACATTGCAGCTGGTCAGATGTTTGTTAAATAATAAAGGAAAATAAAAAATGAGCCTCAGTTGGCAAAATCTGCCTGATTGTTCTTAAAAGGACCTATTAAATAAACAGTTGTAATCAATTCACAATATTTAGAGTTTGTAAATAAAAGGAAAAAGCATGTAATACATGGACTTTTAGTTTCAGGTTCAGCCAGACTTTATTAGAAAAGTTCTTGGTCACCAGTTGTCCTTTGCCATTTGCTTCTGCTATGTGTCCCCCGGGCTGTAGACTTTCTCAGCAAGGTGCAGAGATGCACATGTTTCTTGGGTTATAAATCACGTCACCCTGATGCTCTTCTTTCTGAATAGCCCCCAAACCAGCTACTACATCTCATGTTTATTTTGTCTTTAAAGGTCTTGAGGGTGAAATTGGTGCTCCTGGGGTTTTATTGGTGCTTCTAGCTTAAATTTTTTTTTTAATTTATTGATTTTAAAGAGAGAGGAAAGGGGGGACGACAGAGAGAGAGAGAGAGAGAGAGAGAGAGAAACATCAATTTGTTGTTCCACTTATTTATTCATTCATCACTTGATTCTTACGTGTGCCCTGACAGGGAATTGAACCTGCGATCTTGGCGTATGGGGATGATGCTCCAACTGTCTGAACTACATGGCCATGGCACTTATGGGTTTTTTATGCCTCTATCAATAATTTACATATTTTTGTATTAGTTTTCTGTACTAAAATCCATGATGTGCCTTGGATGCCCTCAAGTAGAGGCCTCACTCTTGCCAAAATTCTCAAATCTCTTTCCTGATTGCTTTCTTGCCTCTAGTGCCTTCCCTACACTCCTTTTTCTGCTCTCTAGTTCTAGGCACACCAGGACTAGAGAGTTCAGTTTGTCTGGCCTTGAAGCTGTACAGCCAGCCGACTGTGAGAGAATGAGCTCTGCCCATAGGGTGCGTCAGCTTCAGGAGGTCCCTGACCCCACCCTGCAGGGACCAGCAGCTCTCTAGTGGTCCCACACATTTCCTGGCAGTTTGTGCCTCTTACGTGGGAATGTTTGTGCTGGTGCCTGAGAGCGCTCAAAAAAAAAAAAAAAAGCCAATTACTTTTGATTCAGATTTTTTAAATAATGAAAGGACACCTATTTATGTGCAAATGACAGTATTTTGTTTGTATATCAGGGTATGAAAATCTAAAGGTCAACTGAACTTACCAGGTGGCACTAAAAATGAATTTTAAGCTACTTGATCTGCATCGTGTTGCTTTGCTGCAGCCTTGAGCCACACAGAACTTGGCTCCGTAGACCAGCTGGTCTTGCCCACCTTGGTCGGAGCCAGTGCTCAAGCTGAGCACAGGAAGTCTGCGGGCACTGGGGGAGCCCCTGGCCAGTGAGCAGCACCCCAGAGTGGGCTCAGCTGCCAGGACACCAGGTGGTTTCCTTGGGAATGGACTCCGTACAGTAAATAGTGCCCTTTGCATTTCCCTGTCTGACTTTTGGGCTGTGTTTAGTAGTATTTTTGAGAAACAATTCACATACCATACAGTACACCCGTATATTCACATAGTTTACCGTCACCAAATTCGGTTGTTGAACATTTTCATCATCCCCAAAAGAAACCCCATACCCTTTAGCTGTCATTTTCATCTCTCCCCTACCCTACCCCACCCCCCAGTCCTAGGCCCCCACACCAGGCTTTCTGTCTCTATAGTTTGCCTGTTCTGGGCTTCATATAAATGGAACCACATACAGTATGTGACCCATTTGACTGGCTTCTTTTCAATTAGCATGTATGTTCCATAGTCATCCGTGTTTCAGCGTATATCAGTGCACCATTTTATTTAACATCAAGTATTTTCCGTTTTATTGATAAACCACACCTGTCTGTTCATCAGTTGATGGGAATTTGGGTTGTTTCCACTTTGAGGCTATGTGTAGAATGCTGCTGTGAACACTGTTGTGTAAATGTTGTTGTGTGGATGTGTGTGCTCACATCTCTGTACCCAGGAGTGGATTGCTGGGTCACGTGGTAACTCTATTTGCCAGACTTTTCCAAAGTTACGCCACCATTTTACATTTTCCCAGGAGTGGGTGTGGGGTCCAGTTTTTCTTTATCCTTGCTCACATTTTTTATTCTCTGTTATCTTTGCCATCTTCCTGGGTATGAAGGAATAACTCATTGTAGTTTTGATTTCCATTTCCCTGGCATCATGGTGTTGAACATCTTTTCATGTGCTTTATTGGGTATTTATAAATCTTTAGAGGAATGTCTAATCAGATCTTTTGCTTTTATTTTATTTTTTATTTTTTAATTGTTGTTCAAGTACAGTTTTCTGCCTTTTACTCCCATCCCAGTCCACCCTCAGCCCTCCCCACCTCCCTCCCATTCCTCCCCCCTCAGTTTTTGTCCATGTGTCCTTTATACTTGTTCCTGCAAACCCTTCCCCTTTTCCCCTGAAATTCCCTCTCTTCTCCCCTCTGCTCACTCTCAGCCTGTCCTCTATTTCAGTGTCTTCAGTTCTATTTTGCTTGTTTGTTTGCTTTGTTGATAAGGTTCCTGTTAAAGGTGAGATCATATGGTATTTGTCTTTCACTGCCTGGCTTATGTCGCTTAGCATAATGCTTTGCTTTTAGATCAAACATTTTTGATTGGTTTGATTTGTCTTTATTATTGAGTTATAGTAGTTCTTTATATATTTTAGATACAAGTCTCCGATCAAGTATATGATTTGCAAAAATATTCTCTCTGTGGGTTGTCTTTTCACTTTCTTGATGGTATCCTATGGAGCACAGAAGTTTCCATTTTAATAAAAAATAATTTATCTACTTTTTTCTTTTTTTTGCTTGTGTGTTTGGTCAAATCTAGGAAGCCATTGCCTGATTCAAGGTCTGGAAAATTTACACCTATGTCTTCTCTAAGAATTTTATAGTTTTAGTTCTTACGTTGAAGTCTTGGGATTTATTTTTATAAGTCCATTTCTCTAGCTCTGGTAGAGAAGGATTTTGGAAGAAATAGCCATTAAGAAGGGAGGGTTGATTTTTCATGGAACATATGGTGTGGCTAGAAACTGGGCTTAGGATGCCTTGTCCAGTAACAGGTGCCTTTTCCCCTTTCAGCTCTCAGTGTGCATGGGCCCTTCTTAGGGAGTCTTCTGACCACATCTCTGCCCCACCCCCAGTTCCCTCACTGCACCATTATGTCCTTTTAAGGCATTTGTCTCCAACATAGGTGTCTACACATGCCATTTACTGAATTTTTTTAATAGACTTTCTGTTGAACTGTAAGCTCCAAAAGGGCCTCTTGGTTTTATTTCTCCTCAATACCTAGTACTTACTTTTTGGAGAACGGCTTTTCCTGGATCTCTAGGTGTTCTGGAATAGCAGCTACTAGTGTCTTCACCCAGCAGGGTGATCGGGGAACAACAGCCATGGTGAGACCACTGCAGCAGAGCGTGAGCCTCTGGCAGCCAGGGTGAGGCCTTCAGTGTTAGATCTGCCTCTGAGGAGAACAAGGGGAGGCACGGGGTCCCTTCTGAGCTTGTTGGAGGGGGAACCCATGCTCACCTCTCTTGACAGTTAAAGTCCTTTTTTCAGCAAATGCTCTGTGCCACCTGTCACAAACTGAAAAAGAAGATGGAATGAGATGGAATGTGTTATTTCCTAACTACAGAATTATATATTGGAATGTATTGCTGTCAGTGCCATATTTCAAGGTGGACCCAATGTGGGCTCTGCAGTTCTGCTTTCTGGAGGCAGCTGACTTTAATGGGATTACTGTCCTTAGATGAAATGGTATCTCCACAGGAGAAGGAAGACAGGTTAGAATTTGCTGAGAGAAGGTACATGGTGACATGTGTCATTGCACCTGACTCTGGCTGTCACTCTCCCTGCACTTACATGTGTCAAGTGTGGTGATCCTAGGAGCATGGTGCTGCAGCTCTGGTTATAACTGATTATAAATGGCATGCAGGTGAGAGCTTTAGGGACTGACTCCAGCAAGGTTAATAAGAGCCCTTGCAAAAGGGCTGAGGACCTCCGATGCCTCATTTGTTGTCTTAACCCCAGGTCTGGGGATTTATTAACCTGGCTTGGTGACAGCAAATAGAGTAACTCTTAATTTCCTTTAGTTAAAAAAATGATGTTACAACTGCAATCCTTTGAGCATAAGAATCAGTACAGTGAGAAAGAAAATGAAAAATGCTAGAATCTAAAGAAAAATGCTGGACATCTGGACATGACAACCATCTAGCCAGCAGTTCTTTGGTCTTTTCTCAGGAGGATGAGCAGAGGAGGTGTCCTGGGCGTTGTAAACACCTAAACAAAAGTCGTGCTGGACATCTGTCTCAGGGCTGCCTTCTCTCTCCTGGGCTGCCAGGCAGGCTTCTCTTACCAGCAGTAAACCCACTTGAAAGCAAAGTTAAATCTAATTTAAGGACACAAATTGAAAAGCAGGTTTGTTTATTGCAGGGTTAGACTTGCTAACTCACAGAAGCTATGAGCCTTGGACTTTCTGTTTACAGATATAAAATGGAACTCTGAATGAGT